ACTTCTAGGCTATTAATAAATCTTAATAGCTAATAAAATAAACTATAATTATTATTAAATTCTAGACTAAGTAAACTTAGTACTTTAAAGATTAATTTTACTATAAGTATAAAGTATTATATAGAAAGTCTTTATTATTAAAGTAGTATTACTTTTTTCTTTTAGTATAATAGACTTTAGTAGTTAGATATAAAACTCTACCTCTAATAGGTAGTAGTAGTCTAGTTCTTTCTTATATTATATATATAGGCTCTATAATTCCTAAGTAAGTATACTTAAAGCCTATACTTAGGTTTTATATAAAAGAAGCTATCTTTAAGAAAGTAAACTTTAGTAATTAAAATAAAATTATAGTATACTAGCCTAAAAGCTAACTACTTTTAAAACTAACTATTTTTAAAGGTATACTAACCTAAAGGCTAACTACTTCTAAAACTAACTATTTTAAATACCTAGTATACTCTTTATTAAGCTAATATATAAGCTACTAAAGTTCTTTATATACCTTCTAAGATATTAAGTAATTTATCTTACTAAATAAAGATACCTAAAGAAGTTCTATATTATTAGTAATCTAAAATATAAGACTATATAAAATTAATAAATAAGTATAGTAAGTTACTCTATTAAGTTTTTTTTTTTTAAGTAAGTTTAAACTACTATATTATACCTTTATAAAAGTAAGGCCTTAATATTACTTACTTTATTACTAATAACTAATAATTATACTAGAAGTAGTTATAATATAATATTCTAAACTATAAAATCTTTATAAAAAGACTTTAAAACTTTATAGATATATATATAAGTACTATAATAGATACACTAGCCTAGCTTTATTAAATCTATTAACTAATAATATACTACTTTATATTTATATATACTATAGTATATATAGTAAAGTAAATATATCTAAAAACCTATTTTTAAAAGATATAACTATTAAAAGATATAAGTATACTATAGTATACTTTACCTATAAGCAGGCTTCTTATAAAAAAAAACTAAAAGTTAAGTCTAATAATATACCTACTATACTATACTACTAAGGTTATATTAATTAGTAGGCCTATTTAATTAAATAAACTATTAAGTAATACTAATATATAGTAAGTAATAATAAAGTTCTTACCTAGATATCTAATAAATAGAACCTTTATTATTAAGTACTCTTATTAATAAAAGCCTAAACTCTACTAATAAAGATTACGTATAGTAGTATTAGCTTAAGAAATATATACCTTAGTACCTTACTAGCTATATAATTAGTAATAATTATTATAGTTTTAAAAATATTAAGTAGGTTATAACTTAAAACCTTATTATATCTTTACTATATAGTATATAGAGTATAGTTTAAGTAATATATTTAACTTAAGTATACTACTAAGTTATAAGTATTACTACTTACTAAAGTAAGTAGCTTATAAGGTTACTAATAGAGCTATTATATCTAGTATAAGTACTAGATAAGCTAGAGCTTAAGTAATATAGGTATAAAAGAAATTTAGTATAGGGCTGTAACTATAAAGGTAGAAAAAGTTCTTAGTATAAGTATCTATTATAGATACTATACTACTAGGTAACCTTAATCTTTTTATAATTAAATACTAAAAAGTATTTTATTTCTATATAGATAAGCTAACTAGAGTTAATATAGCTAGCTACTATATAAGTAGAAAGAACTATTAGTATAGGACTATAATTATACTAAAGCATAAGGTAGTTTAAAGTAAATTAATATAAAGCTTATTAAACTACTTAGCTATAATAAAAAATAAAGTTAAACTATATTAGTAGTATATTAGATATTTAGTAAGCTTATAAAAAATAATTTAAATAGTTAACTCTAATATTTAACTAGGTAGCTTTAGGCTTTAATACCTAGTATACTTTAAAGGTTTACTAGGTATCTTTAGAGCTTTAGTACCTAGTATACTCTAGATATTAACTAGGTATCTTTAGGCTTTAATACCTAGTATACTCTAAGGTTATACTAAGTGTATAAGTACTGCTTACTTTATATTAGTTAAGTCTTATATAGTAAAAATAAAAAAAGAAGGTAGCTTTAATAACCTAGTTATATTCTAGAGCTTTAATAACTTAGTTTATACTCTAGAGCTTTAGTAACCTAGTTTATTCTTTAGGAGTTATAGTTTATTTAGAACTACTTAAGTATTAGTATAATTAATTATTAAAATAAGTAAGTACTTTTTAATATTAATAGCCTTATTACTAAGCCTTAAAAAGTATATACTAGACCTATATATATATTAGTATAATTAACTATTTATAGATAATAAGATATACTTTCTAGTATTAGTAGTCTAATAGTTATTAGAATAAAGAGTTTTACTAGACCTACTTAAGTATTAGTATAATTAAGTATTAGTAATAAAAAGTACTTCTTAGTAATTTATTACTATACCTCTACTATTACTAGTACCTTTCTTTACTCTACCTACCTACCTAGCTTACTCTATAATATACTAGCCTTTAGTAACTTATAAATATTTACTACCTTAGGTATAGGTATTATAGTTAATAAGTGCTAGTAGTTAGGTATATAAGTATAAGGTATTATAGTAATAGAGGTTAATAGCTTATAGCATTAAGTATAAACTCTAGTAGCTAGGCCTTAGTATTTTATAAAAGTTTATAGCTTTTACTATAAATAGTAAAATTAAAAGTAACTAATTAGTAATTAGTATTTTAGTATAACTATAGCTTTCTAGAAACTTTAAGCTTTTTATAATATCTTAACTAAGTTATAGTAGTATAATATAGGCTAAAGTTTATATATAAAATAGATAATAAAATTTATAAAAGTAGTAACTAAGAAATAAATATATAAGATAGAAAACACTAGCCTACTATAAATATATAGTATTATTATTATCTTAGCTAATTAAATTATAGAATTATCCTCTAGTTAATAGTAACCTTAGGAAGTTTATTATATAAAACTTCTACTATTTATAAAATATAGCTCTTTATACTTCTATTTAGTACTATTTTAATTTTTTATATAATTTAAGTCTTTTATATAAAGTATAAACCTCTTAAGGTAGATAGACTATACTATAAATACTTATATATGCCTATATTATATATTATAGTATCTAAGTTAAGATAGTTTTACTAAGTAAATAATATAAGAAAGTACTAGTTATATATAATACTATTTACTAAGGTAGAAGTATAAATATACTTAATACTATAAGTATTATTTCTTATAAGCTATTCTAAATATAAACTAGTATTTTTTTTCTATACTACTTTAATCTATATAGTACTAGTATTTAGTTAAACTAACTAACTAATATAATTATTTATATTCTAGTCTATATATTAGGTAGTATAAATTCTACCTAGATAAAAGAGTATAAGGGCGTAGATTATAGTACTATATTTAACTTACCTATACTTATTATAGTCTATAGTATAACTAGAAATACTTTACTTATATACTATAATATTTCTCTTTAGTAAATAATTTATAACCTTTATTTTCTTTATAAGTTATATAGAGATATTAGTATAGTCTAAGTTAATATAGTAGAAAGAATAAGCTAGTATAGTAAATATTTTAATAAATTACTTAAATATACAGTGGGGTGACACAAATAAAAAGTCACTTTAAAAGTCTACTATTTCAAGAGCGTATATCTTAGTAAGTAATAGAGCTATAAATATAAAAAAAGAAGTTTTTAAAAGAGAAAACCTAGCTTAAAATTTCTGTAATTAAAGGTAAGTATAATTACTATCTAGTAAAATTAATATATAAGCTAGAAGTAGACCCTAAAGTTTTACTTTATTTTAACTAGCTAGAACTTTTTTTTAGACGTATAAAGTTAAGTTTTTTTTAGGTATATATAAAATAGGCTTAATAAGCATTACGTCACCTAATTTATAGTATAAATCTATTAACTAAAAGATTTTTAAATCTAACTTTAAATCTAGTAATAGTAAATTAGTAAGCTAAAATTACGTAATTACACGCTAAAATAGTAGTATATAATAGATATCTTCTGGAAAAAAAATCCTAGACTTCTATTCCCTCAGCAATATTTTCAAAATGGAGCCAAAATTCTCAAAATTCGAATCTCAAGTTAAGCTTCTTTTAAAAGCTAAAACTTCTACTTCTACTATAGCTATAACGCTAGAAAAGCCTCTAAAGTCTATTAAAAACGCTATTAATAGAATAAACAAAAAAACTCTTAATATAACGCCTCTAAAATCTATTAAACAAGGACGTGTTTCTAAGCTATCTAAAAGAGAAGAAAGAGTTATTAATAGGGCTATAATAAATAACCCTAAGGTTAAAAATAAGAGTGTATTAGTTAAAAATAACCTTCCTATACACAAAAGAAGCTTACAAAGATTTTTTAAAAGAGAAGGATATTCTATTAATATAGCTTCTAAAAAAGCTTTATTAGATAGATATAAAGCTAAAAGGAGGCTTTTACTAGCTAAAGAGCAGGATAAAAACATTAGAAATATAAATCTTAATAAGATAGTATTTTCTGATGAGTCAGCAATCCAGCGTGGGCACGGTGCTAGAAAGGAATATTACAGAAAGAAGGGAAATAACAGAGTTGGCAACCAAATGGTTGATACAACTAATACAAGTAAGTTTAAAATTTTTTCTAGTAAGCTAAGTTTTAGAGCTTTTTTTTCTCTTTATTTTCATTTAACTATCTTTTTTATAGCTTTAAAACTGACTTTTTTACAGCCCGGGACATTTCTATCCAAGTTTGGGGAGCAATTTGGATAGGTGGACGCTCTAAATTAGAGGTTATTAAAACGCCTTTTACAACTAAGTCTTATACAAATAAAGACTACCTAAGAAAGGTTTTAATACGCCACGTTAAACCAGCTATTAAAAAAGGTAAGTTTATTATTCTTTATTTCTAACTCTTTTATTTTTTTTAACCTCTATTTTTACTCCTTTAATTTTTTCTAAATTCTTAAAAAATTCTTTATACTTATATCTATTTAGGCTGGAAGTTTCAGCAAGATAACGCTAAAACTCATAAAACGCCAAATATAATGGCTTGGTTTAAGAGAAATAAAATTTCTCTTTATCAGCATCCGCCCTACAGCCCAGATCTAGCACCTATTGAAAATGTCTGGAGTCTATTAAAAGATAGACTAGATAATAGAATAAGTACTAGTTTAGGGGTAGGAGCTAGTAAGGCTAGTGTAGAGGCCTTTGAGGGGGCTATACACAAGGAGTGGGATTTAATCCCGCAACAGAGTATAGATAACTGTATTTTATCTATGCCTAGGCGTTATAAGGCAGTTATAGACGCTAAAGGGTGGTATACTAAGTACTAGTTAGCTATTACTTATTATATTATTCTATTTTAACTACTTTTACTACTTTATTAAATTCTATCTTTTTTACTTAAGTAACTATACCTAAAAAACTCAGAATCTAATATTAATAGATAGATAAGAAAGTTTATACTATTTTAAGTTAATTTTATACCTATAAAAAATACTTATTACTACTTTTATTAGACTCTTTTTTACTCCTCTTAAACACTGCCAAAGAACTATCCTCTAGAGATTACTAAGCAAAAGTTTTTTATATATAAGTTATAAATCTGTATTTTCTCTTTCTAAATCTCTTTTTTTTATATTTATAGCTCTACTACTAACTAAGATATACGCTCTTGAAATAGTAGACTTTTAAAGTGACTTTTTATTTGTGTCACCCCACTGTAAGTTTATTATTAGAGTAGTTATCTTTAGTTTAGTTATACTTATATATAATATTATTAAATATAGACCTACTAGACTTAAATAGAGTAGTAGAAGGTATATATAGTATATTATAGGCTTCTATATTAGTAGCTAATATTATATTAAGTTATATAGGTTTAGTAGATAGTATATTTAGTATCTTTCTATATAGTATCTTATAGATAAGTATAATAGGTTAGAAGAAAATAGTAGAATTATAAAAGTAGCTTAGAAGGAAATTTATACTTCTAAGAGTTTTAATATATATAGTATATAAAACTTATACTAACTTATATTATTTAGATATACTATATCAATACTAGAAATAATAATAAGTAGGTATATTACTAGTCTTTTATATAATTCAAGCTAACTAAGATATAATCTTCTTCTAGTTAAGCTTATATAATAACTCTAATAGTCTAGTTAGTAATTATAATAAGATAATTAATAAAGTATTTACTACTACTTAATAGAAGGTATTTTATTCTTTTTAGTATTTTAATATATATCTTATAACTACCTAGTATACCTATAGAAATAGATACTACTATATTTAATATACTCTATAGTAGCTTATAACTTATAGGTTAATAGTAACTAGACTTTATTAATAATACTATAAAGGTTTCGTATAAGTACTAACTACTACTATACTAAGATACTTACTATACTATTAATTATTAATAGTACTATAAATATAAAAAAGAGTACTTTAATAAAGAGTTTCTATTTATATTAAAAGAAGTAGATATGCTTAAAGTTAACTCTTAAAACTAACTCTAACTAGATATACTAGATTTTAATAGCCTAAATAATAATAATAGCCTAACTAATACTAATATAGAGTTACTTAAGTATATTATTTTACTATATAATAATACTTTATAAAGAGTAGATAATAATAATAGACTAGAAATAGTAGACTAAGTATATAAGGTAATAAAGGCTATAGACTATATAGGTTATAAAGAAAACTACTTTTTTACTAATAATATTTATAAATAAGTACTTAAGATCTTTAATACCTTTATTAGTACTTTAAGATAGAAAGTAAAGAAGATATATAAAGTAATCTAGAAATACTATAATATTAATATAGAAGACTTTATCTAGATTAGATATAAAGTATTAAATAATACTATTAGAAATATAATTAAACCTTAATATATTAACTACTATATAAATAAGTATATAGTATTTATTAATAGGCTTCTAGTAGTATCTACTTACTCCTTATATAGTAAAATATAGTATAATAATTATAGTTAGCTAAGATATATATTTTAATATATTTCTCTTTTACTACGCCTTTATTTCTAGTATAGTTATATATTAAAGTTATAGTAGCTCTTATTATATAGAGCTACTTTTAATCTATCTATACCTAATTATAGATTAAGAAATAATATATTTAATAGGAGTTAGTTTTATAAATACTATAGTAATAGATATTTCTAAAATATATATAACCTTATACTATAGCTTACCTTAAATATAATTAGTACTATTAAGTACCTAAGAAAATACTAAAGTATTATACTAGTTATACTTTATATATTAAATCTATACTCTAAAATAAAAAGTAATACCTTTAATACTTTTACTACCTATATTATACTAGGTAGGTTTAATAAGATATATACTAATATATAGCTTACTTTTTTTATAACTAAGCTATATAAGTTATATTATAAAGTAGTAGTATATAATAAAGCTATTAAATAAGATTTCTAGCTAAAAGCTTATATTATATTAGTTACTAGAAATAGTCCTACTATTATAGACATAATAGGTATAAACAGTTTAAAAAAGTTAAAATAAAGTTACTAAATATATATATTTTCTAGAATATAAAGAAGAAAAGGTAATTATTTCTTTTTAAATAGCTTAAATCTAGAAGTAGAAGTTAACTATAACTTTAAAGCTTATATTAATAAAATTAAGTATTCTTAAGGTATAATAAAAAATAAAGAGTTTAATAACTTAAAAAGAAATAGAAAAGTTAACTACTAATCTATACTTCTTAACCTACTTACTATATACTTTCTAAAGAGCTTTTTTATTAATACTATATACTTTATAAACTATAATATCCTAAAATTAATATTTTATTTATAAAAAGAAAAGAAATACTAAAGTAAGAGTTATAAAGTAAAAAAGTATTTATAAGTTATTCTATAGTATAACTAAGATTTAATAAACTAAAGTATAACCTTTTTTTATACTTTTATTCTAGCCTATATTAGTACTTCTTTATATATAACTAGTAGCTATACTAACTAGACTATATATAAATAGTAGATATTTTTCTTATTATATAGTATACCTGTAATATAATAGTTCCTACTAAAGATATACTTTAATAACTTTCTATAATACTACTAACTTCTTTAATATACTAGCTAATATTAATTTATAAAATATAATATTAATAAAGTTAAAAAATAGGTATAGGCGTTTATATATAAGTATAAGAATCTATATTATTAAGAAGATCTAGACCTACTACTATTATATACTATCTAGTATTATTACCTACTTTACCTTAAGTAAAATATATAAGATTTTAGTCCTTTATCTTACTATACCTAATAGTTACTTAAGTAATTTCTCTATATAGTAAAGAGGTTTACTATATCTACTAGTTATAAGTATAAAAGTATAAAAATTAATATACTTATTTAAAAATAATATATTTATATAAGGTAGAGTAGAAATAAGTATATAGACCTTATTAGAAAGAATAATATAGTATATTAAAATAATAATAATTTTTAAAATAATATATATAACTTTATAAATAGAATAAGTATACTTATAAATTCTTAATAGTAATAAAAGCTAAATAAAATAAAAGATATTAATACTACTTAGTATACTAGAACTTTACTATAAGATATAGTAATATTTTAAAATTATATTCTTCTAAATAAATTAAAACTTAGTATAATCTTTTTTTATAGCTAAGGTAATAACTTATATAGTATAGTATTTATTATATACTATATAAACCTATTACTAAATATCTATAAGTAATTAATATAGTTGTTATTTAGTATAGTTATTATATTATTTAAAGACCTATATAATAGTTCTAAGTAGGTAGGTATAGTTAGATACTAAAAGGTATAGCTACTAAAGCTAATTAATAGCTAGCTACTATATTTTTATAAAATAAATAAAGAAAATAATACTATATAATAGATAATTATTAATAAGATTATAGATCTTATTAGTATAGCCTATATTTATTATTAAGTTAGGAACGTAATATATATATCTTACTTTATTATTAATAAATATACTCTTTCTAAGTAGAATAGGCTGTAGAATATATTATTACTTAGTAAACACCTTATAATAAAATATTAATAAGGTAAGCTATACTCTATATACTACTACTATATTATAGTATAATATAGTAGAAAATAAGCTTTTCTATAAACCTACTATATATATTCTAAACCTATATAATATAAATAAGTAATATAGGCTGTATTTTCTTTATATTTACTAAATGCGCTTTAATAATATATAGGTTATTATAACCTCTCTAGAATTACTATCTAAGTATATATTCTATATATTTAACCTTAGATATAAAGTTTAGCACTTTTTCTTTTAAGTATATCTTTAATACTTTAGGTAAGAATTAGAAGTCTATAAAAATACTATATATAACTATAAATATTTTAGAAAGTAACTAGCTCTTTAATTATAAGAATAACTAGCTCTTTAATTATAAAAATAACTTACTTTTTAATTATAAAAATAACTAGCCCTTTAATTATAAAAATAATAAGTAGGCTAAGTAGTACTATAACCTAAAAGTTACTATTAACTTTCTTAAATAGTATTTTAATAAGTTTAAAGTTAAGGACTAATATAAAGTTAGTATAAATATCTACTTTACTATTAAAGTAGAATTCTATTACTAACTTACTTTTAAAGTAGGCTATAATTAATATAGCCTACTAGCTAGTTTAACTAAGAAGAAATATTATATTATACTTTAGCTCTTTTCTAGTACTTAATAAATTAGTAGCTATAAAGTTTATTATAGAGGGCTTAAGTTCTATTATTAAACTACCTTTAAAGTAGGCTGTAATTAATATAGCCTACTAGCTAGTTTAATTAAGAAGAAATAATATATTATACTTTAACTCTTTTTTTAACCTTAATAGTCTAGTCTTTTAAAATAAGTAAGAAAAGGTTAAGTTAATTTAGATAAAATATAAAGCTAGAATAGTATAATACTTTAAAGTAATAATATTAGAATCTAATATATAGATAATACTTATTAATTAAAAGTAAGCCTTTAATTAGTATCTTTACTATAAATACTTAGCTATTAAAGAATATAAAAGAACTAGAAATCTAATAACTACTAATATTATTATATTTTATAATTAATATATAAGAACGTATATTAACTCTATACTTAAGCTAATATATTATAATTATAGTATATAGAACCTTATACCTACTAAATTATAGAACTACCTTAATAGTAGTAAGAGTTAGATTTTATACTTACTAAGTTATAAGACTACTTTAACAGTAGTAAGAGTTAGATCTTATATCTACTAAGTTATAGAACTACCTTAATAGTAGTAAAAGTTAGATCTTATAAGACTAGATTAATAAAGTTAGGTAGTTAAATATAATTAGTACTTTATATCTGTATAATATTTAGTATATATACCTTTAGTACTAATTATATTTAACTACTTAACCTTATTAATCTATAGCTATAGTACTAATTATATTTAACTACTTAACCTTATTAATTTATAGCTATTTATATTTTAAGAGTTCTATAAATAAGATAGTTTAAATATACTATTTAGTATTACTTTTTTTATAAGTAGCTTTCTAAAGGTCTAATTTTCTATACTCTTTATAATCTAGTTAGATAAAAAGTCTAAAGTTATTTCTACTATAGAAATAGTTCTACTAGAGCCTTATTACTAAAAAGCTAACTTTTACTAAGTATAAGTATTCTAGTAGTCTTAATTATACTAAAATAGGAAATCTAGTTAAAAGATATTATACTATAAAATATAGTAGTTTCTATAGTAGACTTAGTAGTAATCTTTATAGTACTAATATAGTAGCTATACTTAGAAGTAGTAGGTTCTACTACTATATTAGTATATAAATTAGTTATACTAGAATACTATTTTTACTATTTAGGTACTAGATTTAAATATCTCTAATATAAA